AAAAAAAAAAAAAAAAAAAAAAAAAAAAACACGTTTTGCACCGCTTGCCATTTTCTCCGAAGAATTCAAATTCAGATCCTACAAGTGCTCGTAAGCGAAACTGGGTAATGCTACCAGATGTTACTCCGGGTTGAATTGTGAGGCCCCCGGCCTCAAGTTTTACTTGTTGTAATAAGAAGAGACAATTAAAAAAAAAAAATTTTTTTTGCTCCTCCCTCTTGATCCATTTGTGACTCCCTGCTCCTTAGTGGTGGTGCGTCAGACTTCAACTGCAATTGTAATGCCGATTTGGTTGAGTGGTTGGTAATTTGCTTGGAATGAGTGAAACCACAAGAAGGCACGTGGGTCTTGATTGGAAGGGGGCGCAGGTAGCGTTCTGGAGGAATGTGTATTGCCTGCTGGATCTGGATCTGTCTCCCGTGGGTCCTCACTCGTTATTGATGATTCAGGGGCGAGAGAATTGGGGTTATTTTGAGTGAGTGTGCATTTGGAAGAAGAAAGGTGACAGAGAAGGGGGGGGCTAATTGGTAATTTTTGCCTTGAGGGTGTAGGGGGTTGTGGTTGTGACAAGAGTACTTTAGTAGATTTCACTCTTACTACCGTCTTCCCCCGAACACAACGCACCCTCATTTTGGCCGGAAATATAACTCGTATACATTCATTTTTAGGGTGCGTTAAATCTGTTGCGCGCGTGGAGACATCAGATATGGTTGTCAAAGGTGGGGGACGTGTTGTCGTCCTGGACAATGGCGGCGGAAGCTGTAAAGTGGGCTTCGCAGGCGAACGGAATCCGGTCAAGGTGATCCCAAACTTCGTATCAAGGGCCAAGAATGCAGCAGGGCGCAAGCTGTTTATAGCCGATCAGGTGGAAGGGTGTGATGAAGTGCAAGGCCTCGCCATCCGCCGCCCCTTTGACCGGGGGTACCTCGTTAACTGGGAAGTGCAGAAGGACATCTGGGAGCATGCTTTCAAGAACATCCTCAAGGTCCGGCCGGCGGATTGCGTGGGGCTCGTGCTCACAGAACCGCTGTTCAACTTGCAATCCATGCAAGCCACCATGGATGAGGTCGTGTTCGAGGAGTACGGGTTTCCGTCGTATTGTGCGGTCGTTGGGCCTTCCCTTGCCCATGCAGCTTTTGCGAACGATAAACCAGACAGTCTCTTGGCCCGCACCAGTTGCAGTCTTGTTGTGGACATAGGCTTTTCCTTCACGCATTCGGTCCCGATCTGTGGCTCAGTGCCCATCCTTCATGCTGTTCGCCGGATCAACTTGGGTGGGAAGGTGCTCACAAACTACCTTAAGGAACTCGTCTCTTACCGAGCATGGAATGTGATGGATGAGACATACATAATGGAGGATGTCAAGGAAAAGCTGTGCTTTGTCTCAGGCAATCTTCTTTCGGACCTGGAGGAGGCAAGGAAACCAACGAGTTACCTGCGGTGCGAGTATGTTCTTCCCGATGGGCTCAAGCACAAGCGCGGATTCGTTAAGAATCCGCAGTCCGCAGCCATCGCATTTGAGAGGTTGAGACGGGGGCAACAGAGGGGCGTAGACAGAGTTGGCCGCGACTCGTTGAAGGTGGAGGAGGATGGAAATGGGATGCCTGCATCGGGTGGGGCTGCGCGGGCAGGAAGGACTGCCAGTGGTGCTGGGGTTGGACTGTCGACAGCAGCAGAGGGGGGTGCATCTGGGAGCAGGGCTGGAAGGATGACAGAGGCAGATGGGAAACCATTCTCATCTCCTTCCCTTCCTCATTATCAACAACAACAGCAGGTGGATGGCAGGAGAAGTGTAGGTGGTGGTGGTGGGATGACACTCGGTTGTGCGGCCGGCAGCGACCTCTCTGAGGAGCAGAGCTTGAAACTGACCAATGAGAGGTTCCTTGTCCCAGAAGCCCTGTTCAGACCCATAGACATTGGCATCAATCAGGCAGGTCTTGCTGAGTGCATTGTCACGTCAGTGGAAGCGACTCCTCCTGAGCTGCATCCTCTTCTCTACGCAAATGTCCTACTTGTCGGCGGATGCTCTCTGTTCCCTGGATTTGTAGAACGGCTGGACATGGAGCTGAGGGCACTGGTGCCGGACGACTTTGAACTCAACATTTTCCTGCCAGATGATCCGATAGTAACGCCCTGGAGAGGGGGGTCCTTGTTAGGGTCCTCAAGGGAGTACAGCTCAAGGGCAATGTCCAAAAAGGAGTACCATGAACAGGGCTCCTCCCGGGGCCGCAGAAGGTCCAATCGCTGATATGCAAGCTGACAGAGAACATCGACCATAAAGGATAATGGGGGGGGGGTGTCCTTGCTAGGGTCCTCAAGGGAGTACAATTCACGGGCAATGTCCAAAAAGGAGTACTAGGAACAGGGCTCCTCCCGGGCTCGGAGAAGGTCCAATCGCTGATATGCAAGCTGACAGAGAACGTCGACCATAAAGGATAATGAGGGGGTTCCTTGCTAGGGTCCTCAAGGGATTACAATTCACGGGCGATGTACAAAAAGGAGTACCAGGAACAGGGCTCCTCCCGGGCCCTGAGGAGGTCCAATTAGTGACATGCAAGTTGACAGAGAACATGGAACGTAAAGGATGATAAGGGGGGTCGTTGCTAGGGTCCTCAAGGGATTACAGTTCATGGGCAATGGGCCAAAAAGGAGTACCAGGAACAGGGCTCCTTCTGGGCCCGGAGAAGGTGCAAAGTGGACCTTAAAGGATGATGATGGTGATGAGTTCTTTCTTCTTTTTCGAAAATGGCGATGGCCTCGAGGCATCATCATTGAACTGACCGGCCCCAGGTAATTCGCAGTTCATCTGATTGCGAAATCATCAGGATTGCGAAATCATCAGGATTACGAAATCATCAGGATTCAAACTATGGTTTGTTTATCAACGGTTCATGGGTGTACGTCCCTTCAGCCACGAGGGGCTGGGTACTGGGCCATGAGCTCTAACTCTGATGAATAAGATCATATTAGGGGTGACCCCTTTTCAGAAAAGAAAAAATGGAAGGGGGCTTTGTCTGGCAATCGGGGAAGGATTTCTACGTCCATTTCTGCCTTTGCCTTCTTGCTCCTGCTCGTCCTCCTCCTGCTCTTCTTGGTTTGTGAAGACTCGGATCAACAGCTTGAGCTGAAGATGTTCAAGCTGCCGTGCCCAAGATCTTTCAGAAGCCGAGGGAATGAGGTCGAGAGCTCAAAACCTATCTTCCACAAGATCTCTCAGAGGTTGACGAGAACGAGGTGGAGAGCTCAAGCTGTCACGCACAAGATGGATAATAGGAGTGCAGCTCACGTTTCCCGTTTGTCTTCTTCCTTCTCATCTGTTCAGCACGTGCGGGTTGATGATAGGAACAATGAGGAAGGCGAGCTGCACTCCGCTCAGAACACCTTGCCTTGGGCGGAGGGTTATCGCTTGAGCACGTGTGGAGGGTTATCGCTTCAGAACACCTTGCTGTGCAGAGGGTTATCGCTTCAGAACAGCTCGCATTTCCCGTTTGTCTTCTTCCTTCTCATCTGTTCAGCACATGCGGAGGGTTATCGCTTCAGAACACCTTGCCTTGGGCAGTCTTGTCGAGGGCGTATGTGATGCGATTGGTCGCAACGATGTGCGACACTCGCAAAAAACTGCCAGTGATATACTGGAGGGAGGTGGGGATGCCGTCAAGTCCTTATTGCCCTTATGGGCTGGGCTACACACGTGCTCGGTGAAGCTGGTGGTTAGCGTGTGCAACTCGCCTTCGAACTGACGAGAATGAGGACAGTCTTGTCGAGGACGTATGTGAGGAAGCCCTCTTTGGACTCTGATCGACAATGAGACGTTTCAAGATGGTTAGCGTGCGCTACTCGCCTTCGGACTGATGAAAAAAATGAGGTCAGTGCTTTGCAGGCGAGGCCTGCAGAGTTTCTCCTCCTCCTGTCTGTTTCCTGATCCTGAGATCTATCCTTGTTGCTTTGTCTCTGTGCTCCCTGGATTTCATCCTACCGTCTTCACCCGAATAGAAACAGCCCGTCATAGTATCACTGCACCTAGACAGAAAGGTGCACCAAATGCCGGTGTAATGACCGGGAGTTCAATTTGGGTGAAGATGGTATGCAGGCTTTGCAACCCAGGCTGGCTAGAGAGGGGACTGCTATTCTGTGCCTGCATGCATCGTCTTCATCTGAAAAAACTCCGCACTGGCATTCGGTTAAAAAAAAGACTAAGAGAAAAGGCACGGGCTTTCCAAAATTTTAACCGGCCTTGACAGTGAAAGGAAAAGAAGACGTGGAAACACCCGATACTATGGGCCCTCTGCAATCCACCTTTATTGGTGGACTTCGCCGGTATTACCTAAAGGCTGTGTTGTAACGAGATGTCGTTTCGCCTCCTGTCCCCAATTAATTGGGTAATCTGCCTCTTTCAATTCAAACCTGGAAACCTACCGTTCATACACGCTCTCCATGTGGCGGAATGGTAAACACATGAAACTGTTAATAAACAGAACAGGAGCTCAAATCCTGGTTGAATCAGATGAAAAATCTTATTATTAAAACATGCACGCAGCGAGAATGCCTTTCGGTGTGTTTTTTCTTCTCAGGTGTAGGTAGTAGCGAAGATTGATCGGATGATGATTCTTGTTGTGCAGTCCGGTGGAAACGGATTGGATGCATAAGTGTCGGATGAATCGGTTAAATCATCCTTTTCTTAACCCCCTACCCCTGGTTCTTAATGATCAGCCTGATGGGGAAAATATGCAGCTGAGAAAGAAATGGTGAAAATTGTGCGATAAGGAGACCCTCCAAGCCTACCGGTGGAATAGGAACCGGACTGTCGCTCCCCAGAATGGAAGGAGCCAGGACCGTAAGGCCCTGTTTAAAAAAAAAGAAAAAAGAAAAAAAAAGGAGACCCTCCAAGCCGTCCTGTCTCTAAGGCGCCAATTGTAAGGAGTGGAAGGTCACCACGTTCGCAAAAAAAAAAAAGAAAAAAAAACTCACTCAGTTTCACCTCTTTCTGACTCGAGGGTCTAAAACCGGCACTCAATGGAGAGAAGGGGAGTGGCTTGATCTCCTATGATGCACAGTTTTGGGGGGTACCACCGACGCCTGCAATCGACGAATCACAGAAGAAATTCTCCTACCGTCTTCACCGGAATAGAACGCCCGGTCATTATAGCTGTATTCAGGGGCAACTTTCAGTACAGATGCAGAGCTATAATGATTGGGTGTTCTATTCGGGTGAAGATGGTAGGAAGCAGAAAAAGTATTCCAGCAATAAGGATCGTCTCTGTGATGTGATAGAGCTAGAGACATCCTCAATGCATAACAGGCATTCTTTTTTTTTTTTCTTTTTTTTTTTTTCTGTGATTCGAACACAGGTCTGTGTTTCAACAGTTCATGGTTGTACCCACTGAACTAGGCTCTTGGGTACATAACAGGCATTCTGTGTTTGTGTGCAGCACAAAATGAGCTAATTTGCTCCATGAAGTCAGCAAAAAAAAGGAGAAAAACAATGCCCCTGGCGTCAACACCATATCTGTAGCAGTMCCCCGCCAGTCCTGGCAGTCAGGCTGCTCCAGTCTCAGGCCGTAGGCCTGATCCTGCCCTGGTAGGACTTGTCATCATGTGGGTAGTCCCACGGCCGCCGGGTATTCCTGTCTGTTCACTCTAGGCCAATCCAGTTTCCAGTTTCAGCGGCCTGATCCTGGCCTGGTTGGACCCATTGTGTGGGTAGCCCCCCGACCGCCGGGTAGTCCCCCGACCGCCGGGTATACATGTCTGTGCAGTCCTGTTTTCCGGACATTTTGGCCGTTTTGTGATTGGACCGGTCCATTGAACTGAACCCTCTCTCTGCTGCTCGCGTGTGTGTCCATCCCTCTCTCTCTCTCTCTCTCTCTCTCTCTCTCTCTCTCTCTCTCTCTCTCTCTCTCTCTCTCTCTCTCTCTCTCTCTCTCCTGTCAGTTGCATGTGCGGGCATCTCTCAGTGGCTGCGCGTCCGTTCCAATATGCCCTTACTGGTCTTGAATCTGAGGTGTGTGCAGGCCTGCAGCTACTCCGGGTTTTCAGCAATGACAAGGCTATTCAGCGAGGCACTCCACTCTTCTTCTTCTTCTGCCTCTGTCTTTCTGTCTGCCTCTCTCTCCCCCTTCTTTTCCTCTCCCTCCTTCTCCCACTCTCTGTCTGTCTGTCTGTCTTCCTCTCCCCCACTCTGTCTGTCTGTCTGTCTCCTTCTCCCCCCCTCTCCTTCCCTGCACCATCCTTCCCCGGCCCCTTATTTTAAAAGAAAAAAGTGGTTTCCCGCTGCGGCAGAGAGAAGAGAAGGGGACTCTGCTATGGCAGAGAGCAGAAAAGGGGAGACTCCACTCTCTCTCTCTCTCTCTCTCTCTCTCTCTCTCTCTCTCTCTCTCTCTCTCTCTCTCTCTCTCTCTCTCTCTCTCTCTCTNCTCTCTCTCTCTCTCTCTCTCTGTGTCCGTCTGTCTGTCTCTCTCTCTCTCTCTCTTGCGCGCGCACACACAGATGCGTGCTTACTTGCTCGCACTCTGTGTGGCACGGTGTGCCCAGTAAGTGCTTTGGGGAGTAGCGTGCTGCTTGCATCCAATAATTAGGGCCTCGCTCGCTATTCAGCATTTGCCATGTATATGGACCAGATACATTCGAACCGGTCTAACATTTTGAATGCATTGTGACAATCACAGGTCCAGACTCCAGATGCATTTCGAACATTATGCAGCGGAGTGAGGTCCTTAGCTGGCAGCGCCTTTTCCTATACCAGGAAGGCAAAGCTCCCCCCCCCCCCCCCCCCCACACACACACACACACAGAGAGAGAGAGAGAGAGAGAGGCCGGGGGGAGGGGAGGGGGGGATGACGTCAGACTGAGGTGGATCCTTGGCTCGTTCTTTGGAGGGCTGTCTCCTTTTTCCATCAATCAATTAATTGATAGGAACTCACTGCGGTTGCTTAGTAAGAGGGGATAAGAGGATAACGATAGGTAGCAAATCGGGATATCCTGCAGACCAAATTTATTCGGATTTCTCAATCAGGATGAAATTTTCGGATTAATCCCGGATATGGAAAATCCGGCCCTGCGCAAAATACGTTTTTTTTAACCGGGAGAAAAAAGAAAAAAAATGCGGGGAAAAAGTATGTTGTAACATTGTTGTTCATATTGATGATACGAACAACTTTTGGCTTGATGCGATCTTTGATATCTCAACAGATATGAAGAAAAAAAATAAAACAGAAAAAGAAAACAATATTTAGATACAAATGATTAAATTAATAAAATGAATTAAACCACCAGTACTTGGGGCCGGCCTTAGCGTTAACGCTACGAAAATTTCGCGGCCGGTGGGCCGTGGATAAATCGAATCCACAGCCCATGTCGCTTCGACCTCCGGCGTGCAGCGCCCAAGTACTGGTGGTTTAAGCATCCCTCCCCCAAAACCCCTTTATGCTCTATCTTACCCCCTTTGAACCCTTCCATGCCCTATCAAGCTTAATAGGGACGTAGTTCTATTGTATTTCGCATGCGCAATATCACCTTTTTTTTTTTTTTTTTTTAATCCTGATTTTCGGATAATCCTACCCCCGATAATCCGGCCAGATTATCCGGCCAGATAACCCGTGCTACCTGGTCCAATTTTTTTTATTTTTTTTTTGGATGCAAGCTGTATGTTGTACTATGATATGCACATATTATGCAGTGAACAAGTCTTTACATTGTATAGTCATACCTGAGTATACATTCTTTAGCCATGCTCTATCACTACGTAGCACCGCGTTCGCGAATGCGAACATGTTCGCCCGAACGCGAACAAGCGCCCAAAACCCTCCAAACGCGAACATTAAAAGAATATTAAAAAAAAAAAAAGTTGCTCAGAATAATCTGAAAAACAAATATGTTATGTAAAATAATAATACAAGCAACTTTTGCCTTGGAGTCATGTTCAAATTCGTAGCCAATCATGAGTTAAAAATCAAAAACCGAAAAAAAAAAATTATTATTTTTTTATTTTGTTTTTTACAAAAAAAAAATGTTCGCCCGAACATGTTCGCGATCTGTTCGCACGAACGCGTGAACGTGAAGGGACGCGAACACGTTCGCCGTCTTACGCAGCTCTATCATTGTGTATATAGCCTTGACTATTGATGCTATAGCCATACTTGACTATTGCATATACAGCCTTACCTGACTATGTACATTCTATGGCCGTATTTGACTATGGTGTATATAGCCTTACCTGACTAGCTGAGTGTCTTTTCAACAGCGGGAGGGGGCAGTTAAACTGCCGTTGAAAGCCGTTAAATCCCGTTGAATTCCCGTTGAATCTAGGCTACCAGCCGGGCCGCCCGGGTCACCCTATTTTCCCGGACGGCCCGGCCGTGCAAGGACCAGGTAAGGCCCTAGCAAAAAAACAAACAAAAAAAAAAATCAGAAAAATCCGAAAAAAAATAATGTTATGCAGAAAAGTAAACTGAACAACTTTTGCCTCAGGGTCACATCGAAATTCTTTGCCAATTTTAAAATAGAAAATAAAGTTAAAAAATCATTTTTATTTTTTTATTTTTTTATTATTTTTTGGCCCGGCCGGGCAAGTGGCCCCGGGTCACTCTGGTAGCCTAGCGTTGAATGAAAAACG